AATGGAGCTGTTTGTGTCTCTGTTGGCTGAATCACTGCCCTGCGTGACGCATCGGTTTGCAGTCCTAGTGCTCCCCGCCCTTAGAAACAGCCTGGCAGAAGTTAATGTAAAAAAGAGCAAAATAGCTCTTCAGAAATAGCTTGGAAACATTGTGTAGAGCCCCTGGGTGGCTGTGCTTGGTGTCTTGCTTTTATGCGGAGCCTTTCAGGGTTGCTCTTGGAGGCAATTCCAGAACGCGGCTTTCTTTGTCATCCCTTAGTCCCTGGCGGCTGATCCATGCGCTGCTGAAAGTGAACAGAGGGAAAAAATGCCGGCAGGACTGCGGAGGATGCAAAACACAGTGACTGTTGCATGAGTTGTCCTTGCCGTGCCACGCAGGACATGCAGCCCGGAGAGGGTGGCTCTGGCCAGAGTGTGGAGCCCAGGCTGTTTGCAAAACCAATCAGCATTTCTTAGGAAAGCTGAACAGGACGGGGGGCAGCAGCTGCCGAAGTGCGGAGCCTGGGAAAAGAGGAGTCGGAAACCTTCCTGCTAGTTTGTCACTTGTTGTCCTGAAGCAAAAGTTTGTGAATAAAAAAGCAGTGTAACTGCTTTCCCAAAACATGGCAGCCCCTTTGCCCTGCCCCAGAGTTGAGCCACTCTCCTTCCTTCCTCCTCCTTCCTTCCACCCCTCCCCACACCAGTCTCCCGAGACGTTTTCAGTCCAGCTGCAAATAGCTTGGTTGCACCCAAACTTCAAGATCTGAAGACCAGGAAGAATGTAGGATTGTGTAAAACTAACAAATGCTAAACAACACCTCCACACACACAGTTATCTTGGGGAATTGCTGCTCAGGCTCAACAGCTGCAGAAGTGAGGACTTCCTGAAGTGGGCGTACACAGCAGGTACCTGCCGGCTGTCTGACCTTGCGTTGACCCACTGTGGTTGCAAATCCCCCCTCCCTATGCCAATTTTTCTCTCTCTAAAGATTTGAGAGATACAGATGTTGTTTGGCATGACGGTGAACTCTGACAACTGGTTTCTGAACCTCGTCTTGACCTCAGGAGCAGCTCCTGACTCCACGCATTCATTTCTGACTCTGTAATGCTTAAATATAGAGCAGCCCTCGGGCTGTGATGAGTCACTCACTCCTAATGACACTATCAGACTGTTGGCAGTGTGCTCCTGTCAAACGGGAGGCAGCGCTGACTACACGGGGCAGACACCCGTCCCGCAGCAATGCAGCTGGACTTGTGTGCCTGCGTCCCCCCACGCTACTGGTAGTGAACCCCGGTCGCGGATGAAGCTGGAAACCCTCTTGGCTTCGCGTTACCAGCCACGCCAAAGCAAACGCTGACCCTTGCATCCTGGGCTCAGCTCCTGGGAGGGAAGCGCAGGGGCTGGTCCAGCTCCTTTTGTGCATTTCTTTTTCGGAGCACACTGTCATAGGCAGAGACGTGTGGTCATGCGCTTTGCCAGGATCCTTCCCTTCGTGTTCTGCTGGGGACATGGGGGAGGACAGAGGATTGAGGGGCTGAGCTCTTTTTCTATCAGTTTTGGCCAGCTCAATGCGTTGCTGGTCAATGTTTAAGCACGGCCTAAGCAGGGGGAATAGGCAGCTTGTGGTTAAGGTGAGCGGGTAATCTGCGGTTGGTTCAAAGCCTGGTTTGGGAGCCAGATGAGTCACTGATTATCGGAAAGAGAAATGTAGCTCGATGATGAAATGCCTGAGTCCCTCCCAGAGGCAGGTCAGAGTCCAGCAGCTGGAGGAGGATGGGTGGTTAAAGACCCTCTCCCTCAGGGGGGGCTGCGCTCAAGTTCGTGGTCTGGTCCAGTCTCTCCAGGAGTCCCTGGATGGATCACTTCAGCCTTGTGCTGCCTCCCCCCCATCCACAGGTGCCGATACTGTCAGACCCTTTCCTTTCTCTTCGTCCCGTCCTGCCCTGCAGCCATTCGCAGGCCTTGTTCCCTATCCCTACCCCTGGCCCTACCCTGCCTTGTTTAGCTGCAGCTGCTGCAGTTCTTACCCAGGTGGGGTTCCTCCCATGGTCATGATCCCCCATGGTCGTGCTCTAGGTGCAGCTGTGCTGGAAGAGCCCTGGATACCCAGGTAGGATGGTGGGAAGCCACAGTGCATAAGCACTAGTCAGGGGGCAACACAGGGCTGAACCACAATCCTTCCCTTCCCTTCCCTTCCCTTCCCTTCCCTTCCCTTCCCTTCCCTTCCCTTCCCTTCCCTTCCCTTCCCTTCCCTTC